GTGGCGGCAGAAATACCGGACCGGGCGCTTTATATTCGCTCCATAAGATGCACTGACATTTTCCCCCTTTTTTTGGGGGAAAAAAAGTGCGTCTTATGGAGCGAAAAATACGGTAATTGTTGTCAAGTTAGTATATGCAGTATAACAGAGGGTGTCACCATCCATATACAGTATATAAAGCTTGACATGCTTTGTGTTATTATTCCGCTTCTTCAGAAGCAGAAGGTGCACAGATTGTATTGTTACCTAGAGGATACGACACAGAATAATAATAATAATAATAATACACAATACAATTCCATAAATCAAAGTAATATATCCAAAAATATATAGTACAACAGTAGGAAATGTCATTGCACCTACACTTAATGTTAGCAGAGGAGATTATCCCACTGGTGATACATCACAAAGGCCTACCAGACACCACACCTGGTCCCAAATACAATAGGATTGAGTAAAAGAGAGGAAAAAGGAAACCAGTCTAGAAAAGACACATAAAATAATAAACCATCTACCAGGGGTGGACTGACAACTCACTGGGCCCCCAGGCAATAGGGGATCATGGGGCCCCTGAGTCCTTGCCCAAACTCAAAAAAGCCTATGAAAAAGGTACCAGGGGCATCTCATGGGGCCCCCTACTGACCCTGGGCCCTCGGGCAGTGCCCGAGTTTGCAAATGGTCAGTCCATCCCTGCCATCTACTCATATACCATTAGCTACAAAAGCATCCAGAATGCAGCCAGCCATAAAAGACATATTACCTGTCCTAACGAATAAAGATGTCACTTGATAGATGTGCCATCTATTGGTTCATAGTCAAAGATGACCCCAGATGACTCCAACAATATACAGGGTGTCCCTAAAGTCTGGACACATAGGAAATATCACTAACTATATGTTGTTTTTTCCCCAGATTAACTATGAGTTTCTTTGTTTGGGTATTTTTGGGGTATACTAAAGGTGAAGGTCTGCTCAATGAAAATTACAGATATGAATCAACTGAAGGAATGCATCATGAACAAATGTGCTCAAATTGACGGAAATGTGGGAGTTACTGCATTGGGTTCATGTGAATCTTGCAAAACACATGGGACTTTCCATCACAAATGGTGGACATCAAATTGAAAATGTTATTGATTTATATTTCAATAAACTACTACATTTTTTTTTTAAATGTATTGAAATTTATTGAAAATACGCATTTTGCCTATATGTCCAGACTTTTAGGGACACCTTGTACAACAAAGGTATAAAAGCAAACTATAAAACACAGAAAAACAGGGAAAAAGAAAATAAAAGGGCCAAATAAGTAAAAGATAGACAACACAAATTATATAACCCCAAAAATCTGACCTCAGACAGAACTCACAATGGTCAAGCCCCAGGGATCTATGAGTGTAGCAAATAGAAAGAGCGAAGCATAAGGTAAAATTCTTAATAGCAACAACGTCATTAGTACCATCAATCACACATGCAATAACCGTACCTTTACCGGTCCAACACTCTGCTTGGGATCCTCCATATCCATCAGTTGACCAGTAGTTAACTGACTTTAAATCTACCGGGTGGCCAAACCGAAGTGCCTGCCCTGCCCACGACAATGACATCACAATGACACCATGCGGCAGACAGCACCGCAACCCGCATGAGACACCCAAGGCCAGTTTACAACCAGGCCAGGACCAATCCTGGCATCCGTACCCAACACCACCAATTAGTCAGGTCATGCTACAGTGCAGGCACCTCCAAAGCACCCCATATATCTTGTGCATGTGCTGAGAGATGACCTGTTGCCCCTGGCCAGGGAGCTGGCAGCCCCAGAGCGCATGCGCAAGGGCATAGAGCAAGAAAAAAAAAAAGTTTTTTTTTTAACAGATAACAGCAAACAAAAAAAAGGGGGGTAAAAAAGTAATGTAGTCGGATCCAGTAATTATACAAATTATACAATGAAAAAAACATAACAAATAAAACAAAGCAAAAATACATGGAAACTGGGACAACAGGGCAGCAGCATTATGAGACGTATTAGCCCAAAAACTGATTACAGAAACGACACCCAAGAAATCAATAGGGTGCATCTAATGCTGTACCATATGTTACTGGTACTGAAGGGAAGATATCCAAAGACAATCCATATATTAGTGAATGCATGTGTACTTAATAAATCGAATCTAACCTCAATACAAAAGGGAGTTAAGATTGACACCATATAGAGGATCCCCTCATGTATGGAGAAATCTCTACATTTGTGGCTATCATTATTGCTTCTTTTTCAGAAGTCTGCAGAAGTCTGAGATCTAACTAAAGTTGTTAAAAACAAGTCTAAAGGCATTTTGGGATGTCATTGTTTTTTTTACAATACGGTGGCTGATTGTAGAATTATGTTACAAGCAGATTCTTAGAAACTTACACTGTTGATTTTAGCAAATAAATAATATTGACCTATCTCTGTATCTACATAAGAAAAGAAGATACTGATCTGCAATAATCCTTGCAGTCTATTTCCCTGAAGGAGATTGTTCTTTTTGCCAAGAAAATCATTTCGCTTTCATTAATATCAAATTCATAGTTAAAGTAAGCCCTACCATGTAATAGATAGCATTTGTATGTATATAGTCTAGTGCAGCCTTTCTCAACCAGGGTGCCCAGGCACCTTGGGGTGCCTTGAGGTTTCTTCAGGGGTGCCTTGGCAAAATGTCTAAGAATTGCCTAAAACTTGTATACAAGCCAGCGGGTGGAACAAGACAGCCTTCTAGTTACACAAAGCCATGGGTTATCATTGTGCACCATAACAACCTTCTAGCCGACAGTGTCCTGGCAACCAATGACATCATCAGTTAATAAGGATGATGTCATCTGCCTGCACAGCATCCTAGTTTGACCCTTCCCTGCCCGTCTCCATCAGTGCTGGGGTCACATTAGCTCAGTTAGGGAGAAGAGAAACACTGGAATACTAGTCAGTACCAGTGTGCAAAAGTGTTTTTGCTTTGGAAGAATAAATCACCTCTAATGTTGGGTGTCCTACATGTGTGGATGTTGCTGCGCTATATAAAACTATTAGAATAGTTTTTCACAATGTAGAATGGGGCGCCCTTTTAAAATTAAAGATGGTCTTGAGGCACCCCATTTTAGAATGGGGTGCCTCAAGACTGTCCATGATTTTCAAGGGTGCCTCGGGACTGTCCATAATTTTCAAGGGTGCCTCAGGACTGTCCACAATTTTCAAGGGTGCCTCAGGACTGTCCATAATTTTCAAGGGTGCCTCGGGACTGTCCATAATTTTCAAGGGTGCCTCGGGACTGTCCATAATTTTCAAGGGTGCCTCAGGACTGTCCATATATTTCAAGGGTGCCTTGACTGAAAAAAGGTTGAGAATTACTGGTCTAGTGTGTAGTTATTACTTACCTGTATAGTCTTCCTTGAGTCCTACATCACAAATAGTTTTCAGTGTGTAAAATCTTTTCATTTGTTGGTGACTTAATTCCAGAGCTGAAGTATTTTGTTCATTTACCAGGTGAGAGGACTAGCAAATTACATATACAAATCTTTGCATGCTTTCTTAGTTGTGACATTATCTATTAGAGTAACATATCATACTGCATTACAAGTGAATACATAAAGTAAAACAACATTCCTAAGGTGTAAAGCGATAGGATTCCACAATATCTATATCGTTACTAGTGTTCATGCCATCATAGTACCAGAAACATATACATTTTACTAGTCCCTTTATGTATAAACCCTCATTCGCCAATCGCCCCCATGCAAAAGTAATAAGACTGCTCCCAAAGGGCTGCACTTTAGAAAGAACTATAATAATGTTTTCCCTATTTTGCTTAAACTCACAGTTAGTCATGGATTGCTCTTCAACCTGTGCAGATGCTTTTATTACTATAAATGTCAACGATGCCTTTACCTTGGGAACATGAGTGTGTCGCCAACATCAGAGACACATTCCCTGCATCTGACTCCAGCTGGCCAATGGCTTAATTTGTTCAGGATTCAGGGCTTGTATACAGCCAAATGGCAGAGGTAAAATTACGACATGGGGTGTTAGCTCATTTTACACAGGAACACTGTATTTACCAACTTGACCTCCGGAAGTTTTTACCTTTTTGACCAGAGACATTTTTTTTTCACACAAATAGAGCTTTCTTTTGATAACGTGATAATCACTGGGCTTTTTATTTTTTGCTATATGAATGAAAAAATATTGAAAACACATTTTTCTATTATAATATTTTGCAAACAAATAATCTTTTCTTGATAAATTTAGGCCAAAATGTAGTCTGCTACATTTCTTTGACAATAATAACCCAAATCAGGGTACCGTATTTTTTCGCTCCATAAGACGCACTTTTTTCCCCCAAAAAAAGGGGGGAAAATGTCAGTGCGTCTTATGGAGCGAATATAAAGCGGCCGGTCCGGTATTTCTGCCGCCGCCATGTCAGAACACCGAGCCGGCCGCTCAACTGTTCTCTCCTGCAGGGCCTTACCTTTTCCTCGCTCCAGCGCTGCACAGTCTTCCCGCGCTGGCTTCTGTGACAGCCGGGTGCCACTGCGCATGTGTTGCGCTTTGTGAATGATCCGGTGTCTTCTGGGACACATGACAGGTCCCAGAAGGCGCCGGGCCATTCACAAAGCGCAGCGCTTCTCACGCATGCGCAGTGGGCACCCGGCTGTCACAGAAGCCGGCCCGGGAAGAAGAGGGAAGGACAACTCCGCGGAAGTGGGAGCGGGTACCTGTCAAATTCAGGTACCCGCTCCCCCTCCCTCCCCAAAGGTCAGAAGTCTCTGGTCATTCCCTGCACTGTCTACAGTCTCTGGTCATCCCCTGCACTGTCTGCAGTCTCTGGTCATCTCCTGCACTGTCTGCAATCTCTGGTCATTCCCTGCACTGCCTGCAGTCTCTGGTCATTCCCTGCACTGTCTACAGTCTCTGGTCATTCCCTGCACTGTGTCCGAAGTCTCTGGTAATTCCCTGCACTGTGTCCGCAGTCTCTGGTCATCTCCTGCACTGTGTCCACAGTCTCTGGTCATCTCCTGCACTGTGTCCGCAGTCTCTGGTCATCTCCTGCACTGTGTCCGCAGTCTCTGGTCATCTCCTGCACTGTGTCCGCAGTCTCTGGTCATCTCCTGTACTGTGTCCGCAGTCTCTGGTCATCCCCTGTACTGTGTCCGCAGTCTCTGGTCATCCCCTGCACTGTCCCCGCAGTCTCTAGTCATCTCCTGTATTGTGTCCGCAGTCTCTGGTCATCTCCTGTACTATGTCTGCAGTCCCTGGTCATCTCCTGTACTGTGTCCGCAGTCTCTAGTCATCTCCTGTATTGTGTCCGCGAGTCTCTGGTCATCTCCTGTACTGTGTCTGCAGTCTCAGGTCATCTCCAGTACTGTGTCTGCAGTCCATTGGTTCAGAATATTTTTTTTTCCTGTTTTCTGCCTCTAAAACCTAGGTGCGTCTCATGGTCAGGTGCGTCTTATGGAGTGAAAAATACGGTATATTATTTAGTCTGTGTGAAAATGATAGAGTCTACAAACTATATTTCTTCAGACCCTAAAATGCCAGGACAATACAAATTGCTCCCAAATGATCCCTTTTTGGAAAGCAGACAGTCTGAGCTATTTAGAAAGAGGCATGGCAAGTTTTTGAAGTTGTAATTTTTTTGTCAAAAGTTGGAAAAATGAAGAAATTAAATACATTTTTTCACATTTATTTTTACATATTTTCACCAGTGCAGTACAGTGATATCATATGACTGGTGTGGCAGTGATCAGGGATACTGACTGTTGACAGTATGTAAATATATCCTCAGATATGTAGCAGTGTTAATGTATTAAAGCCAATCTCTAGGGAAAAGAAAAAATACTACCCCTTGTAGTGGGCTGCATCTATGCTGCAAGGATTAAAAGGGGCCACAAAAATTCAAAAATCAATTTTATTTGACAGATCCTCTGCCCTCACCTCCCCCAACCCCACCCCCACCCCCAGCACCCAGCACTCTTCTCTACTCCCCTAGACTCCAGTAGTGGACTGTCCCTTTGCATCCTCATGTCCAGTGGAGAGCTATGGAAACGCATTGTACTTAATTATGTCACAATGCATTAGGCCACCAGAGCACAGAGGAGAAGATGCTGTGAGGACTGGTCTAGCAGAGTGGAGGGAACTTGGGGAGCAGAGGATCAAGTAAGTAAAACTACTTTCCTCTGCCCCCTTCAAAACTGATGAAAGTGATGAAATACTGTGTGTGTAGCTACTACAATAATTGGGAGGCTTTGCTCAGATAAATAATTACACTCTAATGTGGATTTATTGATCTTAAAATGATGGTGTTTCCTGTGTTGGGAATGGGGCCTATTTACGTCTGTGAGCTTGCTCACTACAATATTTTAGGGGCTTTTCACAGGTAAATAAATTCCATATAATGCTGATTTATTTTTTATTGAAGCTGTTAAAAGCTGTTAAAAATGTACACTAGTACTTAATTGGTTAAATACTGTACACCTAGCCACTAACATATTTTCTTGTATTTTTGTCCAGTGAAATAAACAGACTCTATTGTGTTTTTCTGGACTATTTCTGTAAAATAATGCACTATAATTGTATTATTTTAGTATACACCTGCCTGGTTTCTTTGTCTTAAATTGCTATCTTGTAAAAGTGTTTTATATACTGTGGAGTGAGTCTATATAATAGTGTCTCTGAAATAATACACTGTAAATTTTTATGTATTATTTGTAATTCATTTTATTTTATATATAGAAGTGTGTATGTATTTTTATGCATTATTTAAATCATGTTTAGCCTTGTGTCAAGTAGACTGCATCAAGCATGTGCTGACATTATTGTCCCAGCCTCCCACTGCTCCTTTTGGAACCCCCCCCCCCCCCCCCCAAGACAAAACAAAACAAAAATCAGAAAACACCCTGGTCCCTCCCCCCCCAAAAAAGGCTTACTCCCAGGTTATAAATATGCAGCTTCTCCACCACAAATTTACCCTGCTTCGATGAAGACCGGCTCTGACATGACAAGTAAAGCATGTGGTCCAACCTGAACACCCATCAGTTCTTGACCACAATCACTTTTAAGTGTTTTATTTCTAAGATTGCCATCCCTGCCTGCCATCTTTGCCTGACCAGGGAAGGGACTGCCTTACAAAAAAAAACATGATAACAATTAAAATGACAAACAAAAAGTTAATTTTTAAATATTGTTCCGGGCAAATCACATCAAAATTTTCTTGGTGGGTTTGGAAAATGAGTGGGTCTGGACCAGTGTTTGTCTCTCAACACTATTAATGGTCCTGTTTCTGCCCTTTCTAACTTTCTTTCAGTTACCATTGGCCTCTTACTCTTTCAATAAGAAGCCCTAATCTGATTTTGTCTGCACTGCAGAAATGGCCTTTTTTCAACATCACAGACATTCCTATCTCTCTACTTTTACCTATAAGGGGTTCCCAGAAGCCATTGCCTCTGCGTAGCAAGCACCTGAACTGGCAGCCTTATCTTGCAACTAATAACCTTTTTTTTCATTTAGGGACAAGGTTTTTAGGCACTTTTTACCAGTTGCAATGGCTTCCTTGACTGCATTTGATTTGACTGGGTAAGGATGGTTTTACAAAAAAAATTAAAAAAATTTAATAAAAATATAAACATTAAAACAGTGTAGCACTCAAAGGGCAGCTTTGTCTGTGTGTGGAACAAATAGAAAACTAATGTTAACTTGTGTGAAAGTAGCCAGATTATACTCACTGTGATCCGCTCTAAGTGCTGAATGTTGAAACTCCGATGATCCACTGCTTAGGAGGGTGCTGCCATCTAGGATGCTCATCCAGGAACCATGCTGTTTCATATAGTGTGAAGACACCACACACCAACAGCTCACTGTAAAATAGTGAGAAACGACATCAGCTATGGCTGTTAAGCCAGGAGAATCTGAAACTGAGGCAATTTCTCACTATTATTTTACATTGAGCTGTTGGTGTGTGGGCTTCTTCACACCATATATTGTAGCCAGCCAGACTATACTCTTTGATGTTCCCCCTGGAACTATGAGAGCAGTGTGGTGGAGCCAGACATCAGATTTAACTACTTCAGCTCCTGAGATTTACCCCCCTTAATGACCAGGCCTCTTTTTGCTACTCGGCGCTGCACTAATTCAACTGATAATTGCGCGGCGTCATCATGAAATGCTACACCTAAACAAAATTTATGTCCTTTTTTTCACATAAATAGAGATTTTCTTCAGTGGTATTTGATCACCTGTGCGCTTTTTATTTTTCACGCTATAAACAAAAAAAGACCAAATATTTTGAAGAAAAACGATATTTTTTACTTTCAACTATAAAAAATATATAGTAAACACAAAGTTAGTTATAAATTTAGACCAAAATGTATTCTGCTACATGTTTTTGGTAAAAAAAAATCCCAATAAGTGTATATTGATTGCTTTGTGTGAAAGTTATAGCGTCTACAAACTATGGTATAGATACTGCATTTACAAACATTTTTTTGCTATACAGCGCTGCGCTAGTTTAACGGACAATTGCGCGGTCATGCAATACGGTACATAAATGAAATTTATGTTTTGTCCTTTTTTTTAACACAAATAGAGCATTTTTTTTGGTGGTATTTGATCACCTGTGCACTTTTTTTTATTTTTGGCGCTATAACCAGAAAATGTTTTGAAGAAAAAAAACATTTTCTTTGAAATGATATTTTTCTCATTTTGGTCATAAAAAATATCTAAAAAACCTAAAACTTCGTCATAAATGTAGGCCAAAATGTATTCTGATAGCGTCTACAAACTATGGTATAGACAATGGAATTTACATAGCTTTTACTTTCTGACTGCCCATCACATTTCTTGAGTTGCTAAAATACCAGAATAGTATAAACACCCTCAAATGACCCCTTTTCGGAAATTAGACACCCTAAGCTATCTACTGAGAGGCATATTGAGTCCATGGAAGATTTATTTTTTTTCCCACAAGTTTCTGGAAAATGACAAACACTTTTTTTTTTTTTAGCTACACAGAGTTGTCATTTAAATTATTTATTTCTCGCACAAGCCATGGGTATATGTGGAATTACACCCCAAAATAGATTCTGCTACTTCTACTGAGTATGGGGATACCACATATGTGAGACTTTTTGGAGCCTAGCCACATACAGGAGCCTGAAATCCAATGACCACTTTGAAAGCCTGAAGGTGCGTAACATCTTCATTACACTTTCTCACTACCTATCACAGTTTCGAAGGCCCTGGGCATGCCAGGATAGCCCCAAACCCCCCCCAAATGACCCCTTTCTGGAAAGTAAACACCCCAAGGAATTTAAAAAGAGGCATGGTGAGTATTTTGAAGATCTCATTATTTTCTCACAAGGTTTTGAAATATAAACAAAATAGAAAAAATATGTTTTTGTTTCTTTTCTTCATTTTCCAAAAACTTGTGGCAACAAATGAGATCTGCAAAATACTTACCGTGCTTTTTATCAAATTCCTTGGGGTGTCTACTTTCCAAAAAGGGGTCATTTGGGGGGGGTTAGGTGCTATCCTGGCATTTCACTACCTGTGATAGGTAGTCTGGAAGTGTATAATGAGGAAATAAAGCCCTTTAAAAGCCTGAAGGTGCTTATTGATTTTGGGGTCCTGTACTTGGCTAGACTGCCAAAAAGTCTCTCACATGTGGTACCCCCATACTCGGGAGAAGTAGCAGAATGTATTTTGGGGAGTAATTCCACATATACCCATGGCATGTATGTGTGAGCAGTAAATCATTTAAGTGACAATTTTGTGTAAAAAAAAAAAAATATTTATTTTTGTTATTTTCCAAAAACTTGTGGTAAAAAAATAAATTCTTCTATTGATTCAACATTCCTCTCAGCAAATAGTTTGGGGTGACTACTTTCCAAAAAGGGGTCGTTTTGGGGGTGGGGGCGTTTTATGGCCAGCATTAGAAGTTTATTGCCACACATCATTCACTCTTCTAAACACCTGAAGACCAAGCCTTTTTGTTCACATGAAAAAAATCAGTATTTTTTGCTAGGAAATTAATTTAAACCCCCAAACATATATATATTTTTTTTAAAGCAGACACCCTAGTGAATAAAATGGTGGGTATTACAATTTTCTATGGCACATAGTACTCGCGCAGTGATTTTTCAAAAGCAATTTTTAAAAAAAAAATACACTTTTTTTTACTTTTAATGCACAAAAACACAATATATTGGCCAATTGTTTGGTAAAATATAAAAGATAATTATATGCCAAGTAAATAGATACCAAACAGGACATGCTTTAAAACTGTGCATGCCCCGTTCAATGGCGACAAACTGCAAACATTTTCAATATCCATAGGCAGCGCTTTAAAAGCCTTTAAAAGCCACCATTTTAGATTTTACAAAGGAGGTCTAGTGTTAGAATTACTTCCCTTGATCTGACGTTCACGCGATACCTCACATGTATGGTGCAACCGCTGTTTACATAACGGCACACGGTCAAG